TATCTCCAAAACTGGCAGAGATAGGTCCATAGTTACTATTGAAGTTGAATAGGAAGTCATATACTGGCAATCTTACTGTGACCTTGAAATTGACCTTTGACCTACTTTTCACCATGAACTGAACTTTGCAAATTTTGATTCCCTTTTATCTCCAAAACTGGCAGAGATAGGTCCATAGTTACTATTAAACTTGAAAAGGAAGTCATATACTGGCAATTTACTGTGACCTTGAAATTGACCTTTGACCTATCTTACGATGAATTAACTTTGATTGTACCATTTTAAATTATATATATTTTTTGCATATTTTGAAAATTCTTGTTAATTGCATTTTTACAGCTTGTCAAGCACAAGACTGGTGGCTGTGTCCCTTACTTTGTGTATGTTGGGGTCTATACGAATGCGCTTGCTCCAGCTGGTGGTACAATATTCGGAGGCGGTATCGCCTCTCTGATCCTCTAGTTTATAAGGACATTTTTCTGTAAAAATCAAAAACTTGTGTCTATAGTTGCATTTAGATTTTACTTATTATTGTTGCTGTGTACAGAATAACCTCTGCTGAATCCATTGGGCAGAAAACTTTGTTTATAAATATTATTTGGTATTTCCTCAAACATTCCAGTTTCAATCGGTTTTGTTGCTTGCCCAGGACATTTTCTCGACCTCTTATTTATTTCTTTATATATTTCTTTCTTTATTTATTTTAATTTTGTGTGCTGGCTGCAAATTGGTCCACCTTAACTGTCAATTTTAATAGGGGTCGTGAAACGAGCCTTTACCCTCATTTTTACAATATTTTGTTCTGTAAGAAGTCTTGAGCATTTATCTGTTATTGCTGTTTACATAATCAACATAAAATAATCTTCCTTGCTTTCAGGTTACAGGGACAATAGCTTGTCACATAATTGGTATCAGGTAAGTTTAGATGAAGAAATCGAGTGTTATAAATATTGCTAGCCTAAGAATTAAAAGAAATCCCAATATCTGGAACATGGCTATATTTGATTAATTTCATATAGGTAATTAAGTTGTTATTTAAGGCAAAAGAATTGGGGAAACGCTGCTTTAACATTCTTTCAGTTGTACAAGCAGAGATATCTTGAAAGAAAAGCCGCCAGGGAGCAGGTCAGGTTGGTCCTTCCTGGAATGCCTCATCGTTTTGGCGTACCACCCCTGCCTTTTGCCCCCGGGGTCCACCCCCCAGGGTTCAGGGGAGGAGACTATGATCTTGATCCGTTTGGTGGTAGGTAGAATCAAGGAGTTATAACTCTTATAACTCCTTGGTAGAATTCAGGTTGTTATCAATTAGGTTGGCTGTGTGTGTGTGTGTGTGTGTGTGTGTGTGTGTGTGAGTGCATGTGTGTTTTTGTGTGCACGAGTTTTAGAAGGAAGAATATGAAGCATGGCGATTAGTGTGTGATAGTGAGCGGGATTTCGCACGGGTGTGGCTTTAGGAGAGAGTGTAGAAAAAATGGTTTAAGCATGTGTGTGTGTGTGCGCGCTTTTGAGTATTTTTGCTTGCACCATTTTTGCTATGCATACGCAATTGTACATCCCTCAAAGTCCACAAACTCAATACAAGGTAGATGGTAGGGTATATCCGTGAATAATATAATGGCCATTTTCAATTTCCTTGTTCCGACAAACATAACAAATCAACCTCCCAGCAATTTTCTTTTCATAGTAACATTGGCCTTATATAAATTATTAAGAAGGTTAGGCTTCGTTCACATGCAATGTCTATTTTCTAAATTCTATTTTCTATTTGCGGCATGTCTTATGATCACGGTCTGTGCACTGAATATCCCGCCGCGTAATTACTGGCAGCGCGAGCCAGTTACTATAAGTTACTATAAGTAACTGGCTCGCGCTGCCAGTAATTACGCGGCGGGATATTCAGTGCACAGACCGTGATCATAAGATAGCGCGAATAGAAAATAGAATTTAGAAAATAGACATTGCATGTGAACGAAGCCTTATTTTCGTTCCAGGAAGTGGGCCAGTCTTCAGCCTCCCACAGCCCAGATTTGACCCTCTCCTGGGCCCGGGGTTGCTTCCAAGACCACGCCCTGGACCGGGAGTAAGAAACCCAAGACCTTCGTACGGTGGTGGCGGCTTCGGGCCAAGATTTTTCTAAAGACTTCTCTGTTGATCTTTAAAGGCGTCAGTTGATCTGTTATTTGTTTTAATAAAAGGACCGATGGTTATTCCGTACATTGTTTGTTTGTTGTAAAAAAATAGAAGTGCAATATTCTACATGTTTTATATGTATGTAATGTTTTGCCTTTTTGACATCTACTCCCCTCTAGAAAAATATTTTATAAAAATCGAATAAAATGTTTTGGAGGTAACCTTTAGCCACACAATGTAAGTGGAATATTCATGTTTTGGTAGGGCTGGCTAAAATTAAATTTATAAAAAAAGCAAAATGTAACACGTTTTTTAGTATTTTAAAATTTGTAAAAATTAATGAGAACAAAAAGAAAGTTAATAAGAAGCTATTGTTATTAGCTCGGCAGAAATTTAGCAAAATTCGTTCGTCTTTCAACTCGTAATGTCTTTCATTTCAAACACAGTTCAGCAAATGTTGCACAAATTTTAATGTAGAAGCGTGTTGATATTTTGCCGGTCGGCTTTACCCGTCTAGCAGACGTTCACGTTTTCAAAGCTGCCGACTTTACTGCACTGAGCCTGCAGGGTGTTAATGAGGCTGTTGGGAATGGCAAGTTTACAAGCTGCTTTGGTCGCTCCAAAATAGCTGCCAACGACGTTCACCACCAGACCACAGATACGGTCTTCAGACACGTTGTCGCAGCTGAGAACTCTGCTGATGACGCTCTCGATGGCGTCGCAGACCTTGGTCCTGAGACTCCTCTTGAATTCTTCATCTTCCATCAACATGCGGGCTGAAAAGGGGAAGTTACGAAGTTGAAGGAACTAGGTTTTAACGTAACGATTTTTTTTTTGTAATGGAAAGATTCATTTTGTCTACAAAATTGGTTTCTAAGGAACTTTTGTAAAGGAGATCGAATGAATTTGAATAAACGTGTATTCAACAGCATCAAGGCACGTTGCAATTGAAACGAATACTAGCAATGCGTTCAGTCAGATCGTTCATGTATAACAAGCTGTGTTGATGATCCCTTGAGTAGTGTAGGCACATTATAGGGTGACATTTAATTACAACTCGATTTAAAAATTACAGTTTGACAATTCATGTATACCATGACTAAAAAGAGCTAGTCTAAGATTTAAACGCCAGTATTTGTAAATCCCTCTTACCCACTCTCTCGTCAAGAGTCTTGGCGGACGCAAATGTCGCGGCAAGGCAAAGTACAACAACGCACAGAACCTTCATCTTAACGTTGACTGAAACTGAAGATGAGACAATAATATTTAAAGAACATTTTGAACATTTAAAAGAAAAGTTGCGACGGACATTTGAATTGATGTTAAAATAATGACGCTCTGATTTTGATAATATCCCAAAGTTATATTTTTGTGTCTACAATCATGTATCCTGCTTGGCTATGTATTTTCTTTTTCGGAAATATTAATTAAAGCAATAAAGTCCGTCTAATAAAAGTACCCATTGCCCATATTACTTTTTGAAATGTGCCTGATGAGTAGGCGATCTAATTGAGTGACAGGCATTCAAAACTAGATTAATTCATTAGAAATTTAGGTTTAAAACATAGAAGCCAAGTCGATGTGGTTAATCAATAATTTGTGGTTAGGAGGGATAAATTTATCGAGGAAAATTTGATTTGGAAGAAAAATCTATTGACTATATGACGATCGTCGTCACATTTTTTCGTACGTTTTCACTGCATTGTATCTATATTGTATCTATTCATCGGCGTAATTACCTACCTGGAAGACGGGTGTGAACAGCGCAAATATCTATTAACCGCAGGAACAGTGTGTCAATCTTCACGGAGAAGCCCCAATTTATATCCCTGGCCGTAGCTCGGCTCCAGCAGGCGTGCCTTAACGTAGGAGTCGATCACGCGTGTGTCTACAGCACCCTGTCTTTGAGTTCATTGTTAGGTGGCGAAACTGGCAAATTTGATTTGCTATCAGGTGAGGAACTTTTCTGAATGTCGGGGTGATCGTTTCCCCTTCATGTTTTTCGTGACTTTTTAAGCCTCATATCTCGAAACTATCTCTGAAGATTGAGCCGCAGACCCGAACGTCCCAAAAGTGAGGTCAGTTTAAGGATACGGGAGATTAAGCTGTCTGATGCGTGTATCAACCATTTGTAAACCCCCCTTTCCACTGGGCGGGATCCTTTCTGCGTTCTTTGAGGGACCATGGAACTGGCCAGGCCGCCGTTGGACGCTCAAAGAACGCACGGTGATCGCTAAGATCGCACAAAAAACGTTCAAGCATCGCAGGGGACCCCATGATCGTCGCGAAGTTATGCGCATGTCCTCAAGAATCGCACAGGGAACGCAATGGAGGATGGACGCTGCAAGTACATGCAGGTCGCTCAAGAGACGCAGAGAGGGCGCACACGCATCGCCGTGGTAGCAGAAAGGAGGCACAAGCATGGTTTGGTTGCAGAATGAATGTTCAACGATCGGCCTGTTTTCGGCAAGTAAAGTATTATATTTTACTCTCTTACGGGGCCTCACTAGGTGTTTTTCACCAGAGACAGGAAATCTTAGGGTAACAGCTACTACTGGTCTCATACCAGCCTCCAGTTGGTATTTTTCCCCTAAAATTCTTGAACCGATCCATATTTGAGGGCAATTATAGAACGAACATTTTGGGGTTTTTTTTCAAGATGTAGTTCTTGTCGCAATTTTTTGCAGATTCAAAAATTCTATATCGTGTCAGCCTGCCTTTCTCGTCTTCGGCCCCTGTCCATCCGTCTTATAAGGACAACAATGATAATATGGCTTATTATCAGTCCATGCAGACCAGTATTATTGTAGTTGAAAGCATTATTGTAGTTGAAAAAAAGGCTATTCCTAATTATACGTTTCGTTTTCTGGAGATGTTCTTAATTGGGTGACCAGGGTGATCGAGTTAGAACTGATGGAAAAATATAAAGGGTCAGAATAAATTGAACGACGACCAAACAACGACAAAAAAGCCATTTAACTTGCACAGTTTTAAACTACCCCAATAGATTGTTAAGTAACACCTACCTTTTACATATTCTCGGTAATATTTCAAAAATTTTAAAAAGATGGGGATTTTGTTGAATAATAACTATTTAGAAATGATTGGAGAATTTATTTTAAAAGAGTTAAAGAGTGTAGTGCATTAACTGTTACCCGTTTTAATCGGTAACGTCTAGTCACCGAGAAAAGACATTCGTGTTGTCCTGAGCAATTTTTTTTTTAGGCACTAGACCTTCTGTTTAACCGAGCCAATGTGATGGTCGTCTTGAGCACGTGGCGTCCTGCACATTCACCGCCCCCCCCCTCCAACTCCAACAGGAGTGTAAAACACCCATCAGCTGGAAGCCGTTTATTTTGTTTTACCAAATGTATTTTGAGGTGAGTGTCGTTGAAGATTGTCTGTGATGATAGAACGCCAAAGTCACGTTTTATCTATAGAGTTTCAGGACAACTTTAAAGAAGAATTTAAAACTTTCATTTTCAAAAAAGTTTTATAACTGATTTCACTGGCTGTTATCTTAACATTGTGCTATCTATCTTAAATTTTAACTGTCCATATATTTATTTATATTAAACCACACATTTTGATATCTTAACATGTTAACTGCCTATTTATTACTTATTATCTTTATTCATCTAATTCTGTTCATTTTACCCATGTAAAGTCTACTAAACATTTTCTGCGGATTTTGGAATATAATAATAATAATATTTGTTATTATTATTATTATTATTATAATAATTATTATTATTATTATTATTATTTGTTCCAACATGGTAATTCACAAAACTTGACAGCAACTGAAAGGAGCGTTTTTTGCCAGAAAAGGTCTAATATGCACCAAAATTTGATCTAGACTCTATCGCCCGTATTCTATAAGGTCACTCACACTCACACTCTACTCACACTTAACTGAGTTTCACTCAAGTGTGGCTGAAGAGTAACTCAAGTGTGAGTGTGAGTGTGATCTCAATAAAATGAGTGACTACTCACACTCATTGAATGATACATGTGTTCACTTTCACTAAGCTCACTCAACTGTGACTCAGTTAAGTGACACTTGAGTAATAGTTCCTTGTATTGAGTGTGCATATCACTTTAGTCAGTCTGACTGCTGTCACCATGTCCAGACAATACTTCTCTGAGCTAGAGAAGTCTCTACTGACTGAATTAGGCCACACTTTTTTATTTTTATGGATGACATCCTCTGGGTACCCCAAAATCGGTGCGAGAGGGCGAAAAAAA